ATTGCCTTACAGTTCAGAAAACCACGATCAAAATCTTAGTGCGTATTGATTTTCGTAAATGAAATTGCCACAGCTTTACTCACATAGTAATCAAAATTTGAAGACTCTAGGCAGAATAAACACTTAACGAAGAAAGACTACATTTATTCCATTTATCTACGCCAGTGTTCTTGGGAACAAATTCTTCCGACATAACCATAATTTAGTTATAATATCGGTTATTTTCCGTAAAGCGGATAAAATTACTGAAGCTGCTTATATTTTTTTTAAATCGTGAGGTAGGCATTTATATGTAATTTATATAATAAAGTGTACTTCCTAATTTGGTTGAAATCAGATAACATTTGTCAGGAGTTGTTTATTTCAGGATAGGATGATTGCATACATATTATTATAATTTATGGAAATGTTGCTTTTGATGTGAAATTAGTACATGACCTAACGCCCGAAGGTCACTGAAAGCTCAATCCTTTTCACAAAAATGTTAGGGTGCTGAGACGAGCTCTTCAACGCCTTCCAGACATGAAGCGAAACGAACACAGAATCACAATTAGGTCCCGATTGAAAGAAAATGTAGCTCTGAAACTAATGAAACTGTCAATATTGAGCACTTATAAAAATATACTTTATTAAACAAACTTGAACTTTGCATTAATATTAAGTTTGTATACTATCCGTAACTTACTTTGTTTCAGAATTACAACTTTAAATTTGGACCTAACTATGACGCTTTTAGTAACGTTTTCGGGAAAAAAAACTGTCTTACAACTTGTCGCAATGATTTTAAACCCAAATTCAGTTCTCTCAATGTTAACAACAATTTTCTTTGTGATTAGTTATGGGATCGCATCCTTTCATGTTGCTTTCCATTACACATCGTGTAGAATTACCTTAAAAAGTAGACCTTAATTCTTCGCTAGTTCACATGTTTGCTACCAGGTAGCATTTCGATCTTAGCAGAAGACGTCGAGAAAATTGTGTTGGCGCGAGATTAAAGCGATGCTATTGGTCAGTACGTTCTGGAATGTAATTCCACTGTCACGATGGAGAGAAATGGAGGGGGAAAAGAACATTATCCTTCAGACTTTTTCCATATGAACGAAGGAAGACCTGCAAGAGAGACTAACGCTGGCTTTGGTGATTTTCACCCGCAGTTGACTGCTTGCGGTTGTGGAATGTTGGTAGCCTCGAGTTGAGGATTATGCTCTCTGCCCTACCTGCTTGCTGGCCGGCTGTCTCTTACTAAATAGCATAGTTACCGCTCGGTCGCTTGACGTAAGTTGTTGTCTACAGTCTGCATTTACCGGCCGGCGGGTCCGTACTACTAACAATGTGGCGTGTGGTGAAGTGATTCAACATTACACCAAAATGTACGTGGGGGTTCAGTGTTTTAAATCCATTGTTAACCTTTATGTGGTGAATATTACATTCATTTCGTGTGCACGAAAAAGCTAAGTATTAACCAAATATAAATATTAAGCTGATGTACCACATGCCAAACATATTCAAGATTACCTGCAGTGAGTTAAAGAATGACACATGAAGACTTTGTGTGGTGTTTTGTGATGTAATAAAGAAGAAAAAGTGATTTGTTCCCCAAGATTTTGTGCAAGTTTAAAGATTATTTTCAGTTATAAAAAGTGCATTGTTGGGATACGTTTTATGTAAGGAGTGGCAACAATGGTTTTTCATAGAAGAATTTATATTGAATATCTTCCAGCCTTCCCGAATTGGAATAACAGGTAAACAAACGTATTTTACTTTCCAAGTATCAGTTCTGTTTTGAGATATCAATTTTGATTATAACAGCATTCAGTCGGAGAGGATTATGCGGATGATACAAACTTGGTGAAATAAGTTACTTGTACCACGTTCTAGCCGTTACTGTTACAAACTGGAATAAATTAATTTATTCTTTCAATTGTTGATGAGTATGGTTTTTAAGGTTATGCACTGGTTATTTAAAGAGGAAATTGTTTGGAATATAAATGAATTAACTTGGAATATTTATAATGCACAAAATTGAGCATCTAGCTGTATTATATAAGGAAGTTTCAATATTTTTAGGCCGATGGATGTTTAAAATGAATGTGATTTGTTAACACTTACTAAGTATTCATTTTATTTGTGTCTATTGTTTATTGCGGGTAGCTTCTAGTTGCTGAATGTATTTCTCCGCGGTTGCACAGGCAATATATTTTGTTTGTTGTATATTACGACGCTGTCAGTCGTCAGACGAATGATTGATGATTAATGACTGACTTGGAAAGGATATGGAAGGAAGCGATCGTGGCCTAATTTAACGTATACTATCCCGGTATTTGCCTTGAGGTTCAGCCAGTCCCCGGGCCGAAATTTGAACCCAGGTGCTTTATAACAAACAAATATTAGTTGGTTATGAAGGTTATCAGTGATACCGAAACAGTAAACTCACCCATTTTTAAATTCATAATCTCTTTTCGATGACAGATTTGAGTTAGTATAATTTTATTATATAAATTATTTGTATTTGTACAGAATTCTAGCATTGCACAAATTTCTTGTTCTGGAAAAAAGCATTTACATCTTGGCCATTTTAAGACGCTAGAACACTCTTTTTGTTGACTGAGATGCTCCAAATAAAAATGTTCAAAGAAACCCAGGCTATTTAAAACGACCTACAACCACAGCATTAACGAATGCGTCATGCCGACCATAAAAATTGTTCATGGCGTGTTCCGTGCCATAACCTTCACTGACATGGATTTTTTTCACAGTGTGTTGGCCACAGGTATTCGACCTTGGTTCTGAGTTGCCTGTACAAAGAGACTTATACCGATGAAAATTGTATCCCGTGCTACGAACAGAAAATTTAAATGAGACTCTTTTATTTTGCTTTGCTGATTATCTGCGTATGGTTTACATGTTGTTCGTAACAGCTTAGTACTGGATTTTGAACAAAATAGAATAAGCTGAAAATTACCCTCACCAAGAAGCTTGCAGAGATAAATATTATTATTGTCATGTCTTATGCAGATAACCGTAATTTTTAAGATATATTAGAGAAACATTATTAATGAATATGAAAAGGAGCCCTTAGAATTTTTGTGGTCGAAATGTTGAATTGGGTTGTCGCGTATGGTCGATGAATGTTATGATTAACACCAAACATTTAACGAAATTGATCAATCTGTTGGCAAATATCCACAACGGCTCCAGTAATCTCTTGGTACTTACAGAAGAGTAACTGTGTTCTTCAAGAGCTTGAGACATTCCTCAGGACGTGACGTCCATTTTTTTTTAAAAAAAAAGGTCCGTTTATTAACCGCATCACATCGAATTATGCTTAATTAAGAATTGATCAGTGCTGTATTGAGCGTCTTAGAATTGACTCGGTGGCATGTCAAGGTTCGTGGTGAAAAAACAATTGAATACTTGTCTTGCCGGTCAGTTGTACAACTGAATGACTGCTTATATGAACGAAGAGAAAGTCGGAAGACACTTTACATTCATGACATATTATTTACGTGCACACAAAGCTGCAGTATGTCACGTGACTTATGTACCGTGATGTAATGTTGCCTAATGTAGTACCAAAACACCGATTGAAAAGAAAATTCACGCAGAGGAGTTTCTTAGCTGCTAGTCCTTACTCCATATTGGATGCGCATTTTTGTCTAGTGGT